TGCTCTGCTTACCTGTGTCCACACAATGCATCTGCTGAGTCCCTTTGCCATGGATTTTATCTGGTGCCCAGTCCATAAATACACCCTGCTGTGCCAGCCAGGGTCCCTCCCAGAGATCACTGGTGTTACTCATTCTTGGGAGACATGCTTGAGTGGCCATAGCTCCTGAGGTGGAATGCGGAGATCATTAAAATGTAAGAATCTAAAACATCTTCCTGAACTTGGGGACGACTCTATTAGGCTCATGCAGACACCACACTTAGAACAGGACTTGGAAAGTGCTAGTGCCAGGGGCCTGGGTGTGTAACTGTTCTCAGCAGGCTTGCTTCTTTAGGCTTTGAGGGGAAGCAGAAGGTGGCTGCAGAATGGGCAGAGCTGCGTAGGCAGGGCCTCTAGTTGTTTGTAAAAACTCACATATCCAGGAATTGGGATGTGAACATGGGCCACAATTGTTTCCCCTCCCTCCTTCTCTCCCTCCCCTGTTGGGGTAAATCTCCAACCCAAATAATACTGGACAAAGAAAACACAACTCAATAATTGTGAATATATTCTGTAAGCCTAGATTGGGCACATTCACCACTTCACGACTCTATTTCCCAGCTATGAGACCCTTATAACTTGAGGGTTTTTCAGACCCTGAGTTTGTCCTTCTACCTCCTGCTTCCAAGTCATCCTTCTCTGTCTCCTCCTTCTCTGTTCTCTTCTCTCCTCCCACCAACCTTTATTTCTCCACCTCCCCCTTCCTCTTGCCCAATCACTGGCTCCAGCCTTTATTTTACAAATTAAGATGGGCAGAAGGTTCACTAGACTTCACCTCTGTAATGACTCCCTTCTCCTCTGCAGCCCTTCACAGGAAAGGAGAATTAGTGTCAAAATACAAGGCCAGGGCTATCCACAACATCCCTCTCTCCCTCCCTTCTTTTCTTTTTTCTTTCTTTTCTTCTTTCTGTTTTGAGATAGGGTTCCTTTTTTTTTTTATTGGATATTTTATTTACATTTCAAATGTTATCCCCTTTCCAGGTTTCTCCCCTACCCTGAAACCCTGTATCCCATCCTCCCTCCCCTGCTTCTATGAGGGTGCTCACCCACCCACCCACTCTCAGAGACAGGGTTTTTTTTTTGGTGTACATCTAGCTGTACTGGAACTTGATCTGTAGACCAGGCTGGCCTGGAACTCACAGATCCTCCTGCCTCTGCCTCCTGAATGCCTGGCTTGTTTAGATTCTTAGGAAACTGACATATCCTTATGGCCCAGCAGGGGCAGGAGTCTGCTTCTTGTTCTTGCTGTGGTGACAGTTGGGAAGCAGAGTCCAGCTACAAAGGCAAAGGGCAGAAAAGAACAGGATGATAGTGGTAATCCTGCTGACATTCCCTGGTGTGGCCAGTGTTCCTCACACAGGAGAGATCATTGGAAAGTTCACATGCACAGTGGTCACCTTTGGGTCTTAGGGATAGAGACAGCCTGGCCCTAGGGGTCTGTTATGCCTTCTTTTTAAATCATCCTCTGTGTATGCACACACATGTGGAGGCTATAGGACAAATGACTTTGGCTGTCATTCCTCAGATGTCAGTCACCTTCTTTACTGAGGCAAGGTCTCTCACTGTAACTGGGGCTTACCAAATAGGCTAGGCTGGCTGGCCATCAGCCTATCTCTCTGCACTGGAATTACTAGCACATATCACCACGCCTAACTTTTGATGTGAGGTCTGGAGGATTGAACTCAGGTCCCTGTGCTTGCACAGTAAGCACCTTAGTGACTTAATCTCCCCAGCCTGTCAATCATGTATTGACCAAGTTCATTGATCAGGAACACTCCTGTGCAAGGGCATCTTGCCCTGTGCTGCCTTCTGTTATTTTCTGAGTGACAGAAGTCAAAGGTGGCAGAGACACTTTTGAAAACTAATCTCTGAAGCCACATCTCCCTTTCACTCCATGACATTAGAGTCCTTTCTCCAAGGTCCCTCCTTTTCTTGACCTCAGGGAGTTTTCCCCACAGATTTCTACAGTAGAATAGGACTCTGAAGGGCTGGGGAGCTGGCTCAGTGGTTGACAGCACATGTTCTTGCAGAGGATTGAAGTTTAATACACAACCCCCTATTGTGGCTCACAGTCATCCGTAAGTGCAATTCCAGGGGGAGCCAACAGCTTCTGATCTCTGTGGGCACTAGGCATGCGCATGATACACACATACATGCAAGGAAAACATTTATACACACAAAATAACTAAATCTATTTTTGACATAGGGTTTCTCTGTGTAGCCCCAGCTGTCCTGGAACTCGCTTTGTAGACCAGGCTAGACTTGATCAGCCTGTTTCTGCCTCCAAAGTGCTGGGATTAAAGGCATGCATCACCATATACCCAAAAGTAAATAAATCCTTTAGAAGTACTTTATTGTTATTATTTTTAAGAAAAATGAGGCTGTGACATACAGATCAGGTGGTCAGTGGTGCCCACTGTGAGGACTCATGCCGCCCTTTGCTTTGCTCATATTTTCAGGTGACCCAGTTAACATGGTTCAGATCTTGGCCCCAGTACCGAGCTAAGCACTGCCCAGGGATTTCTGTGACTGCAACTTACATCATAGACACTGAGGAAGCGACTAAAGAGGGGTGTGGGTGGCCAGAGACTTGTTCCATGAAGGAAACAGGAAGGGCAGAGAATCAACAAGAGGCTGAGGCTTAGCCACAACATGCACCACTGGGCCTGTGTGAAGGGCCTGTGCTGCCATGAGGACCCCTGCTCTTCTGGCAGCCAGAGTTGGTGCACCTAACAGGAGTTGTGATTCAGAAACATGGAGAAGGGGCCGGAGATGTTGCTCTTGCTAAGGACCCAAGTAAGCCTGGTTTCCAGTTTCCACATGGCAGCTCACAACTGCCTGTCTGACCTCCAAGGCTTCAATATGTGGTGCACACTTATTGAAAAAAGGGGTGGTGAGGGAGGGAGACAGGACATCAGGGACAGTGAGTGAAACTGAAAAGCCAGGTCAGTAAATGGCCAGGGCAGCCCAGGGTGCAGACTGTGCTCATGAGCAAGCTCACACTCCCCATCAGCCACGGGGTCTTATCCTGCTAGGCAGCAACACAGGGAAACTAGCCCATTCACCTCTACCTGGGCACCCAGCCGTCCAGGACATCATTACTGTGCACACAGATGTTGCCCCCAAAGTGGTAACTGAGCATATAGAGAAGGAGAGTGTGTTTTTTTGTTTTTGTTTTGTTTTTTAAATTTTTTCCTTAACTCAGAGAAACCCAAGGGCAGAAGGTGACCAATTAAAGGTGGCACATTCTACCTGGGCAGTGGTGGCACTTGTCTTTAATCCTAGCATTTGGATGCAGAGGCAGGCAGATTTCTGAGTTCGAGGCCAGCCTGGTCTACAGAGTGAGTTCCAGGACATCCGGGGCTACACAGAGAAACTCTGTCTCAAAAAAAAAAAAAAAAAAAAAAGGTGGCATATTCTGTTGGGACCGCAAGCCTTGATGCTGGTTAGATGACAGGATTAGAGCAGGACAGAGAGGTTAGAGGTTCTTAGTTGCTGGGACTTCTGCTCCTGAGCTGCCTGGCTGAGCTGCGTGGGTGGAAGGGAGAGAGTAGACAAATGAGAAGTGACAGAAGACCCTTTTCAAAAGCAGCACTGAAGGTCGAATAGCTCTCCAAGGACCAGTCTCCCTGGGTCTCAACATGGTGCCCTCATCAAGAGGGGCTCGGGGAAGGGAGGCAGCAGGGTTAGACCAGGCAGCTCTTACCACAGTCTGGATGGCAGGATTCCCTGGCCGACTTTTGACCTTCGGAAAAGGCCATCTGGAAGAATGTGGAGTCTGAGCCGCTAAATCCTGAAAACTAGCCTTTTCCAGGAACTGAAACTGAAAGCTGTTCTGGCAGCAGGCTCCTCCCCTCAGGGTAGGGCGGGAGGGTAGGTGTGGAGGTGGGAGGCAGGCAGGGCTCATGCCTAGAAGTTGGGGAGCTGCATCAGGGCCAAGATAGAGCAGGGTCTGAGAGGAAACCTAGGAGCTCAGGCTGCCCTTCAGCTGCTCCTGCCTCTTCTAATTGCTCTTCCCCACAGGATCCTGCTCCTCCACCCTTCTATTCTCTCCCTCCTGACCGTCCTGGGCCTGGATT